TAGAGGTCCACCGAATTGGATCCTGCCAAGTTATCCATGCGTCAGTCTCAGATCGAGTGGACTACATTTTGTCTTGACTCTAACATTATGATCATGTCCGATTCTAAGCCAGAGAACCGCTGGGGCGGTTTAATAGCCGATGATTGAACTCCGACTTTAAGGGAAATACATAAAGCCATTTACAAAAAAACGGTATTTTTATAGCGCTGCACTTCGGGAAAATGGTTCTTACAGGAGCTTCTCTGAAAAACGCTAAAACGCTGGCGATTTTAAATTTTGCGCTCGAAAGCGTATAAATATTTGCGCGACTTGCAAGCCACACGAGAACATCTGTTCGTAGTTTATATTAGGTTTCAAGTGAAAAACTGCGGTAACTAGAGTAATTTCAAATCAAGTGATCATTTGCATATATTCTCCCATCTTCGCTTACAAGTGCCTAAGACTATATAACGTATAAAGCATTATATTGTATGTATCGACAACTGGGCCAGAAGATGAACCTATTTAATAGGTTTTACTAAATAACAATTAAATAGGTTTTAATGTTGACTTGGCCTGAAATGTACTGAGGCGTATTTTTTAAACCCGTGTGGTCAAAGAACGATCGTGTTTGGAAGACGGTGAGTAATCTAATACTATCGCCAATGCTGTAGTTTTCATTCAAGTCTTGTGAACAAATAAAATTATGCACTCCTAATATATGCGCAATGGATTTTACAATATGCAAAAATAGTGCGTATGTTTGTTTTGTTGTCTTGCATTGTACTTATTTTGTCAGAACCATGAATATCGTAAACAAGTAGGCATGTAACGTTTCGTTTGGTTGAGCATTTATTAAAAGAGATCGAATTGCCGGTGAGATGTTTACCATAAAAATAATATTCAATTACTCATAGAATATATTGTTCCATTAGTTGCAAGCAAGTGGAGAGATGTTTAATGGGTGAGATTTTCACTATGCGGTTGCTTTAAACTGCGTGATTGAATCATGTGCTATCTTGTGAAATAGGTAGCCTCAGCCAAACGTGCCCGAAATCGCTTTAGTGCGGTTTTATGGGGAACGTGAAGCACCCAATTAAAAACCGTCTCAAGTACATTTGGAGCTAAATCGGACTTGGAAATCAGTCGGAAGGATACAAATATAGCGTATCGATTGCCTCCAAAGGCGTCTGTCAGCAGCGTAGTGTACACCATTTAATAACCCGCAATCACTAAATATCTGTCATTCCGCAAAATACTTCAGCTACGGATTAAATTTTATTCGACTATTGTTCTCCATGTATTAATAAGACTAATATTTGTCTTGAGGGATTCATAAATATATAGTTTTGGCACACTCCAGCACGGATCTGTAAGCCAAAAACCGAGCACATTTTCATACCATTTATATTAACGCGTTTAACAGGAATTTCATGAGCACATGCCAGGTGCATTCAGGTGACATGTCATGTCCCAAATGGATGAAATAGGAACAGATTGCTTTGGAAACCTACTCGAACATTCACCGCTTATATTTACTACTTTTCCGCCACAATGACCCATTTGCATTCATTGCTTGAACTCTGGATCTATTGCGTCCTGCATACAAACTTGAATATATCATTCTGACTCCAGTTGGCAAGAGGTTCTCAAGGAATTTGCAATAAAACCCGTTCACAAAATATGGTCCTTGTTCTCTGGCGTAGAACAAACTGGAACCGAAATAGCGAGCTGGAGAATACTATCGGTGAATACTACCGATGAAACACACGTCAGATATTTTTCTCCGCAATTTCCCCTCGATTTATTTGGAAGGACGGTTTTGCGCGGGCTTGAGTGGCAAATCTTATTTGGTGCACAGGCAAGAATGTGGATAGGAATTATGGAGTTCACTCAGTGCAATTTAAAATACGGGAACTACATGTTTCTTTAGCTGATCTGGTGCTCTTTCGGGGAAATTTTAGCCCATCGTGGAATGAACGTATTTCCATTGTTGTTAAAGCGATGTAGAATTTCTGCCATTGCACACAATTATTTATTACAGTTTTCTGGCTCAAACGTTTTGTCAGCCAAGAACAAACGGGAGTAATAGGTTATTAACTTGTACCGAATTTCAACTTTATGTTTCATATTGTGTTGGAGATCCCCTCATAAGTACATTTTAAGCACATATGAATAAAAAGACTCTGGTATTCCGCAAAATCAGGTATTTGACAAAAACTCCAAATTGACTCACACATCGGCATTGAGTTCCGTTAAGTCAAAAGGAAAGGGTGGGAACTACGCTTAGGTATGTGCAAAAAAAAACTTTAACGAAAAATAAATGAACGGAAAACAAAAGCAACCTTCCCGTTTGATGCTGCGTTTTCTCATGAATAAATTTGTTTGCTAGGACCCTTTCGCACGAATATTCCACCATGCGTCCAACTTGAACGTTGGTTACTTGGTGAATAATGTATTGTTTTCACACAACGCTGAAGCGGACATTCAGGTACAACATTGTATGTGCATATTCTTTTGTTCTCCGCAAAGGGTGAGAAAGTGTCGCGAAGTTTATATATGTGGGGCTACCAGCCGATCTTTTGATCAATGGGCATACTGTGAGGCAGATACTGTAACCAAACGGATTTGGTGATTTGCGCGTGCAATGTCCTTGTCGTCTTTCAGACAGAACTGAGGTTATTCCATAATCACAGTGAAGAGACATTTTTCAAATCACAACAGAACAAGGTACTTGAGATTTACTTATTTCAAGATAACAATGAACGCTGTGGAATTTAAAACATGACGCGTGCATAAACGTCTGAATATCAAGATTACTTTCCGAGGATATGGGCATTTAGTTATTTCCAGCTAACAGCAGTGATTCAGTATGTTCAGATACTAACACGCTCATCACAAATCTACAGACTGTTTTGCGCAAGGAAAAGGAACACTCGAACTACCTAAACGGTGATCAAATTGTATTGTCGTTAATGACCGATTCCCTCGCCCGTCATAACACAGTATTCGGTTTGTTCCTAAAGCACCTAAATGCAAAATTGGGGTCACCAAATATTGCAAAGAATGAATGCAGTTTCTCCGCAACACGCAGGATCACTAAAGATTTCCGCTGCTGATATGTTCAAATTACTCCACAAGTTGGCAACCGCTCCGAAAAATAATATGAGGAGCAGCTGGAAAAGAGCATGACTGTGTTTTCCCTAAACTTGCGCTCACAAAACCTCAAAATTTGATGGCGGAATGGAATATAGCGTGGCACCTGAGTCATTGGATGGATTTGCGAAACTATTTGTGGTTTAGAGTTTGGTGAAAAATGAACAACCTAGGTTATAAGGATTTAGAGCACACAAGTATTCCGCAAAAACGCCCATGTATTATTACTAACTTCGTGCATTTCCGGTGTTATATCTAAAGGAAATCTGAGGAGAATGTAATTGCTTTGCAATGTTTTACAGATCAGGCGACAAATAGTAGCCCAGTTTGGCATTAGTGATGACAGCCACTAGAAACGTGATGTAACTACACAAACGGTCGTACAAACTTCGTACCAACATAAGCAAGTTCGGTCTCCCAAGTGCACTTGGGACTTTTGGACAAGGATTAAATGATTCGGCTGAAATATGCTTCCTGGCATTCCTTTGGGACTCCTGCTGCCCAAAAAACAAAACTAGGGTATCATTGGCGCTCTAACGTGAGCTGGTAACCAAAACACTTGTGAGTGGGAAAGGGAACAACGAAATCAGGCATTTGAATGCAGCATCAATCCATACGACGCGGTGTCACATGCGGAGCTCTTCTACACGACATGTTGAATGCTCTGATGAGTGGAGTGCATAACACGAAATGGTTATTGGTCCAGATCTGGTTCGCTTTGCGATCTAGGTGCGTTAGTAGCTTCACAGCTAGCAAGAGGCGATGACACAGGCGAGTGGATACAGGCGACTATATCAATACACTAGAAATCGATTTTCCACACAGTCCGCATATGAGCAGAGTAACCACAAAACATGTAAGATGTGATACCCGGAAGGACGATCGATCCCCGATGTACACCAAACCAAATCGGTGGCTTAATTGTTGACAGGAACTGATACTCCAAACAATTCCCCCTTGTATGCTACTGGAATCTGGAATTCGCTGTGAAATGCCTCGGACCGTCGAGTGTCAAATATTGTTCAAAAGGGATCCGTGCGTAATACCAAAGATTGATCATGAAAATGTGCAGAGCAATGGTGACGTAAGAACCGGGAATAAGCAAATAAGATCTCATTGAACGGATGTTATGTACAGGCTGGGAGATGAGGACTACATTCGTCGAGATCTACGTGGACAATTTGAGGAGATACACATTTCTTAGTGAATAGTACGGAGCATGTGTGCATGTACAATATTCGATGTCACAGCGTGAGACTACTGTGGTTTAGGAAACGTAAGGGTATGTGATGATAAGCACGAAGGATGTCGATGTGTGAGAAAACAGTGCATCCGTGTAACGCGGAAGAAAAATCGTGAAGATGTGGGATGGGGTAGCGGTCAGGTACGGTGACGTTATTCAGTGCTCGGTAGTCACCGCAAGGTCGCCGGTCGGAGGACGTTTTCTTGGGCACCATATGAAGTGGTGATGTCCACATGCTTTGAGACCGTCGGATTATGCCTAGTTGAAGCATATGCTGAAATTCCCCTTTGGCTATTTTTAACTTTTCTGGAGCCGAACGACGCGGACTTGTAAAAACTGGAGGATCGCGGGTATGAATGTGGTGGAAAACGGAATGTTTCGGTTTTGCCTGGTGAAAATTAGGTTTGGTTAAATCTGAAAATTCATGCAGTAAATCGTGGAAAGGTGATTGATCACTTTTATGACGTGTCACCGGATAGACGGAAGGTAAAGCGATAGCGTGCCCTTTGGAAGACAGTTGAGTCTGGTTATCAGGGCGTAAACCAAGATTTAGTCTTAATAGAAGGGCCATTTGCAGCCGTTAAGGTGAAAGAAGAAGGAGTGGGGTTATTGAATGCAGCAGTTAAAGGGATAATACTGATGTCAGCTCCGGTGTCTACAAGAAAATGAAGACCAGAAGTCTTGTCTACAACTGTTAGACGACGAGTTGTATGAGCGGGGCCTTGAAATTTACTAGTCTCTATTGTTCGGCCCGTGCATTTTTCCGATAATAAATAAGGAGATGGATAACGCCGTTGGAAAGAACAAAGTTGTGAACAATTTTGTGCTCGACTTCCGATTGTACTATGATACCAACAGTATACATGACTACGGGAGTTGGAGTGTGATGGTGAGCGTGAACGTGAAAGAAAATGTGCACGACGAAACGGATGAGGTCGAGATAAGCGGATGTCTGCGATCTGAGTAGCCAATGTATCCAGACGATCGTGAATGGCGGACATTAGTTTGGTAAACTCGACAGTGGAGATATTAGAGGAGTTTGGTTGAATCTCAAGGATTTTATCCGCAATGTTAACAAGTCCAGCCAGAGGGGCAGTATCCGAACTGAAAGCAAGAATCATTTACACGTGTGCAGGTAAACCTTTTAAAAACATTTGTTTTAATAAAGCATCGTCAATTTTACCGTCACTCATGATGGGTCACGTCGGGTTCACCAATTATTAGTGTTCCGTCTTGTTTACAAGAGAGACTGACAAAGACTGACCCATATTCGGATAGTTGTTGAATGCCTGGTTTTGGTCGACATGTTGGCATTCTATGCCCACTTCCAAATCGATGAGAGCACCGGCGACCCACTGGATGAAAACGAAATGGAATGGGGGGTAGTAGGTACCGGTGGCAAATTGATTAGAGGAGTAATTAAGCAAAGGGTAAGGTCCAAGAGGCTGGCCCGGCGCTAAATGAAAACAAACCACTGATCGTTTGAGTTAAGGTGACACTGCTGGGGCATAAATCGGGTAACGGTTGAGTTAGCTCAATACCAGACAAAAAAGCAAAGATTGAGGATTGTGCCGCCTAGTTCGGAGCGGTCCCTAATACAGGGTTGTAGACGAGCAGCACACAACTGCTGGGTTGTTGAGCATTTCAACACAATCGACGCTCCAATGTACGACTTGCTTGGGCAAAATCGGACGTTTCAATGGACCGAAGAGGAGCATGGGGTTTTGAGTTTGTCAGAGCGCGGATGTAGGATCAACAACTCACCTTCAAACTGGCCAGGGTCGGAAAGAAGTTCGCTGTTGCAACGGACGGCAGTGATCACGGTATCGGTGCAGTCCTAAAGCAAAGGAACGGATTTATGAAATATGCAAGTCGTATTTCCGATAACGCTATACTGAAGTATTCGATAATCGAGAAAGAAATTTTAACGATCATCTGGGCCCTGGATATGTGGACGCTATTTCTGCTTGGGAAAATTGCATGTCGAAGCTGATCACAAACCCCTTGTGTGGATCAGGACCACTAGAGATTCTCCTGGAAATCTCGCACACTGGGCATTCCGGTTGCAGTAGTACGACTTTAGAATCTAGCAAGTGTCAGGGAAGGAGAACCGCTTGGCCCATTGACTGTCGAGTCCAGAGGCTGATGAAGAGGTGTCCAGGACTAGGACTTGCGCCAATAGTTTCGCCTTCAAACTGGATTCCGGAAGGTTGCTGTAAATCCAACGGCAGGATCCTGTGTTATGGAAGGTTGCAGCCGCCTTGTTGGATTGACAGAGCATTGGGAACCGAGAGGGAGGCCAGGAATTAAAAAAACGTTCCAGAGTCACTTTGATCAGCTAAGTCTGTATGAAGCCGGCACATTTCCTGTAACGCTGCTAATTCGGATTTTGTGCTGCTCGTGATACCTCGCGTCCTGAGACGGGAGCTTATCGTCGGATGCTGTGAAATGGAACATACAGGCTGCTCGAAGACCTACGTCTTACTTCGGCAGAGGGTCTACTGCTTTGGAATGAGTAGTGATGTGGCGGGTTGTGTAGGGTACTGTAAGCAGTGCTAACTGATGAAACAAGACATCACGAGGGCACCCAATCCAGGGAAACTTAGTCCCGTCTCAGATATCGACAAATTGTGGTCCGTTGACGTCATGACAGAACAAGTGTTGCCGAATCAACGGGCGTTCAAAAAGAAGATGGATATTCTGTTTTTCTAATGGAGATGCATGTGAGGATTTTACTTCCCTTTCCGATGATTCACATTTTCTGATATACTAGTCCACACCGAAGGCTTTTTACGGCATTCGGGTACTATTTCAACATAGCGTTGCAACAGAGTTAATGCTGGAGCAAAAGAATATAAAATCCTATAGAAAATCTTGCCAAAGCGTTTCATCCGGAAATCACCGAAAAAATACAATTCAACCATCAAGATTACTGGAAGCACTAGCAAAACATTCGCTCTACCCTAAATCAAACAGTTTCGTAGATGAGCGCCAGGATGTTACGACTGCATGGCGTAAATATTGCCTCAAGTCTGACTGACGTCCTGCGAAAAGCACCATAAAAAACCAAATGGATTCTTAATCCGATGGAATAGACAAATGTAATCTACAAAATTCAATTGAATGATTGTGTAAAACATTGTGGAACAAACAGAGAACAAACTGTCAATCACAGTCGAAAAGTGCCTGCTCGCCACTAGTAGACATGACCAGCCCTCTCTGCACACGAAGCTGGAAAAAGACACAAGTTTGAGTGGAATGACGTCAGCATACTGGGCCAGGCCAGAAAAAATAAAGAACACGCGTTCGTGAACTGGTAACATTCCACCGATGGAGCAATGAACAGATGCATTGAGATCGATCGGGTACACCAGACCCTGAGGGGAAAGGATTGCCAGATCCACAAAACCCCGTGCCAAACAAGGACTCGGAGATTTCATCAACAGAACAGCGAATTACTAAAAATAGGCGGTAGACCAGAACTCAATCTACAACAAACAAGCCGACCACGACGCAATACATATCTCGAATGCGCCAGTCGGTAACTTTAATAGTAACTTGACCGTAAGAAGCAGGAAACGCAAACCGAAACGCAACACCTCAAGATCCGACCGGCCAGATCCAGTGGACCATCAGGTTACATCGCAGAGCCTGCTCCTTGTAAACTATATAAACATGGGCGCAAAGTGAAGGGTTACTCAACCAACAGCGCAGTGTTGATGTCTCCTCGAATGGAGACAACACATTCGCAGGTCAACTGCCGACCTCAGCGAAAATATCAAGATCCAGATGACCAATTATCAACTAATGCACACAAGCTACCGATAGTGCAACACAGTGACAATTTATCCCTGCTTAAATTGCAATCTAATTTATGCAATATAACGTGGACAAAGTGGGGAACTGTGTATACCGAATTCAGGTTTTGCGAGATGCTGCCAGAATAGCTGTGTCAGAATGCATCAAATTAATAGTCTTTGAAATATGAATTGTACTTTCTGGATAAGTGATATTTTTATCAGGGATGTGAAATTTCTCAGATACCATATTGTACTGGTGTGGCCTTGGCGAGGTTTTGCTCAGGGCTTCCAGGAGTATGAACGTATTATTATTTTGACTTGTTTGGCGCATCTTTTTCACGCCGAATTTGAGTCGAAATGTCCGCTGATATATGTGCACACGGACTTTAGCCGGAAGACATTATCGTTTCACCCTTCAAGCACGGTGTACGATTTCCTATCAACAGACTTCCTCCCATCATCACTGATCACTACATGCGCCATTCTGGCACACGAGCAGCGCGTAAGTACTTATTCAAGTAAACTCCCCATTTCTAAGCAGCAACAGCATTAAAAGTCAAGCGACCAAACTGAGCGGAATTGTGCGGTGGGAACCGCAATATTGTAGGTCATTTCGTGTCTGTTTTTGTCCAATATTTATGTGCGCAATATCATTGCATCCCTGTCCATTACATTTGACGCGCTCAAGTAAAAAGTTGTGTGCAGACAGGTAAGGCATACGTCCAGCATTAGTATTCGATGGTAGATATATTACACAGTGAACCAAGCAAACAGTGGTTTGGTGTGGCTGTTTTATGCAGACCAACTTTCCATTTTAGGGGGAATAACAATTTTATCATTCATTGTTTGCCAATAATTACGAACAGCGGGACTCAAGAACATCCGTTAGTGAGAACCATGCGTGCCTAGTGAAACGTATAAAGGAGGCAAACATATAGTTAGCTACACAAGCATTTAATAATATATCTGTTTTCCTCCAAGCGGAGTTTTTAGAGGCACCCACAATCAATGGCGGTTTTGGTTTATTTATGTTCCCACTTACTGCCAACTAACTCCCATTTCCACAGATTTATTGGATTTCTCACACGCCACCGGTTATGTTAATATGTACTTGCATCCAGTGTTAAATTCACACAGTTCTGTTGGTGCTTAAACTGCCAGTAAAATATTGATAGATGTATTTCCTATCAAACGCCCGCTTGTTTACCAAACTGAATTTGTCGGTAAAATAATTAATGAGGAAATCCTAAGCATCCGAATCCCGCGGGGATCTGGCATTTTTAATCTCAGACTCGGGACTTTTAAAGGGTTTCCATTGATTTAATTTACTTATAAGTTGTCCGTTGATTTAGCACAACGCAACACAGTACGTAAGTTTGTATTGTTTCACCGAATCAAGTCTCGAGATTTTCTCGCGTTTCCTTCCTCAGGGACCGGAAAATGTGCAGTTTTATACTATATTCATTTGCGTTGGTGGTTATCGTTTTATTGCTCGTTTTTTTGTCGATTGCAATTAGTGGACATATGCAAGGCGACGGCGGTATGTTGCGTATTGTTAAAGAAAGCACAAAATACGCTCCAGCTTTTGTGGGTAGAAATACATTGATTCAACATCTGTGTAAACATCACCAATGTCTGCAAGAAGGATGTCCTTGTTAGAATTTCGAAATTATACAGCCCACTTCAAAACAATGACGAAACAAATTATACAAGTCGCATGCACGCTAAAACGTACCTAGGTGAAAAAGCGTGAAACACGTCACCTATTTGGCCATTATGGGAACATAATTTAATATGCCACGGAAGATATTACACCAACGTTTTAGATTGTGCCGAGCGAACAATGGTTGTTCCAAAACCTAATTTCTAGTCCCCCACTTGTCAAATACACACTTAGAGGAACATGTACAGTTGTCTAAACTGAACAAAAGTCTTCCGCCTAAGTTCGTCATGAAATCTATACACTTGGATAAATTGCACGCCATGAATGCCTGTATTTTGCTGTCCTTCCTGTATTTGATATACGCAAAATATTGTATCCGCATTATACGACACATACGCGGAATTCAACCACAAGCTTTTTACTAGCAGCTTCTGGTATGAGTTCTTCGGGCTCTATGCAGAGTAGTGACTAAAGTGTGATATAACTAATTTAAGCTTCTATTTTTGCATCCATTGACCACCAGTAAAATTTTTACGCTGGCTTGGACAGGTTGAGAGCATCTCAGCCATCGCGCTTCCATCCGGTGATGTGGCCACTAGGCGCCGCGTTATCCATAATTTGATTCCTAGTAGTTCGAGTGCCCTTAAATATAAATGTTCTGGAGCAAATTGCCCGTTTTCTTCTCCTATGTGATTGGGTTCCAAATGTATGCGGGCATTGTTTTGCTGGT